GGATATTTTGACAGTTTATCTATTTGTATTCCTTTTATTGCTTCTTCTTGCCTAATTGTTCTGGCTAGGAATTCCAGTACTATGTTGAATAGGAGTGGAGATAGTGGGCATCCTTGTCTAGTTCCTGATTTTAGAGGGAATGGTTTCAGTTTTTCTCCGTTAAGTATAATGCTGGCTGTAGGGTTGTCATATATAGCTTTTATAATGTTGAGGTACTTTCCTTCTATTCCTAGTTTTCTTAGAGTTTTTATCATGAAATAGTGTTGGATCTTATCAAAGGCTTTTTCTGCATCTATTGAGATGATCAAGTGGTTTTTGTCTTTGCTTCTGTTAATGTGGTTTATTACATTTATTGATTTTTGTATGATGAACCACCCCTGCATTCCTGGGATGAAGCCAACTTGGTCGTGGTGAACAATCTTTTTGATGTGTTGTTAAATTCGGTTTGCCATTATTTTGTTAAGGATTTTTGTATCAATATTCATTAAGGAGATTGGCCTATAGTTCTCCTTTTTGGAAGTGTCTTTGCCTGGTTTTGGGATAAGTGTAATACTGGCTACATAAAATGTGTTAGGCAGTTTTCCTTCCCTTTCTATTTTGTGGAATAGTTTAAGGAGGGTTTGTGTCAGTTCTTCTTTAAAGGTCTGATAGAATTCAGCAGAGAATCCATCAGGTCCTGGACTTTTCTTTTTGGGGAGACTCTTGATTGCTGCTTCAATTTCATTTTGTATTATAGATTTATTCAGGTGATTAATTTCCTCTTGGTTCAGTTTTGGATGATTGTAGGTATCTAGAAATCTGTCCATTTCTTTAAGATTTTCAAATTTTTTTGAATATAGGTTCTCTAAGTAGTCTCTGATGATTTCCTGGACTTCCATGGTGTTTATTGTTATCTCCCCTTTTGCATTCCTGATTCTACTAATTTGAGTTTTTTCTCTCCTCATTTTGGTCAAGTTTGCCAGGGGTCTGTCTATCTTGTTTATTTTTTCAAAGAACCAACTTTTTGTTTCATTAATTCTTTGTATGGTTTTTTTGGTTTCTATTTCATTGATTTCAGCTCTTATTTTTATTAGTCAACTCCTTCTATTTGTTTTGGGATTTGCTTGTTCTTGTTTTTCTAGGAGTTTGAGATGTATCATTCATTAGGTCATTGATTTGGGATCTTTCAATCTTTTTATATATGCACTCATGGGCACCTGCACACCCATGTTTATTGCGGCACTATTCCCAATAGCCAAGTTATGGAAACAGCCAAGATGCCCCACTACTGATGAATGGATCAAGAAAATGTGGTATCTATACACAATGGAATTTTATGCAGCCATGAAGAAGAATGAAATGTTATCATTCGCTGGTAAATGGATGGAATTGGAGAACATCATTCTGAGTGAGGTTAGCCTGGCCCAAAAGACCAAAAATCATTATGTTCTCCCTCATATGAGGACATTAGATCAAGGGCAAACACAACAAGGGGATTGAACTTTGATCACAAGATAAAAGCGAGAGCCCACAAGAGAGATATGAGGATGGGTAAGACACCTAAAAAACTAGATAGCATTTGTTGCCCTCAACGCAGAGAAACTAAAGCAGATACCTTAAAAGCAACTGAGACCAATAGGAAAAGGGGACCAGGAACTAGACAAAAGGTGAGATCAAAAAGAACTAACCTAGAAGGCAACACACATGCACAGGAAATTAATGTGCGTCAACTCCCTATGTAGCTATCCTTATCTCAACTAGAAAAAACACTTGTTCCTTCCTATTTTTGCTTCTACTCTCTCTTCAACAAAATTAGAGATAAGGGCAAAATAGTTTCTGCTGGGTATTGAGGGGGTGGAGGGCAGAGGGTGGGGACGGGGTGGGTTGTAAGGGAGGGGATGGGGGCAGGGGGGAGAAATGACTCAAGCATTTTATGCACATATGAATAATAAAAAAAGGAAAAAAGTGATATAACATGTGTGATGTGATTTAAAAAAACAAGAGCACAGTGTATCTACAACTATACAGGTAATTGAAACAATTAAAGAAGAACTTCTACACCCTACAGCGTCTGCTCATCCATCTCTTCTTTCCCACTGCTGTCTCGGGTGAAGTATCAGTATCTTTTATTCACATGTGCATACAATGTTTAGGTCATTTCTCTCCCCTTCCCCCCCCCGCCCCCTCCCTTAATGTTCATTTTTTTAAGGAAAGACAAATATTCAGTTATACTTTTATTTTTTTTTTTTTTTCATTTTTCTTTTATTATTCGTATGTGCATACAAGGCTTGGTTCATTTCTCCCCCCTGCCCCCACCCCCTCCCTTACCACCCACTTCCCCCCCTTCCTCTCCCCCCCAATACCCAGCAGAAACTATCTTGCCCTTATCAGTTATACTTTTAAACTCAAGAAACTTAAGTATATGTCAGATTTCCTCTTTATATCTTGAGGCTTATGAAACTGAGTGTTTTTGATTTTTGATTTTGTTTTTGATTTTGAAAGAATTGTTTGATTGTTAGTAATATATGAATAGTTATACATCAGGTAATCTGATGATTTCTGGTCTGACGTGCATCCTCAGACCTTTCACTCGATTTTGGCAGAAGGCATTGATGTTTCTGAATCGTTATTTCTGAACTAGAACATTTTTCTTTAAACTTAATAACAAAATTAGTAGCGATATTGACAGTTACTGTTATAAGTATCATATTAAAATTTCGTTAGCCTAGGCTCAACAGATCTCGGATTAAGTAGATTTATGTGATGAGAGTAAGGCATTAGGTAGGTCATGATGTCAGAGGGACTCTGTGATGCGTTAGGTTAGTAGTTTGTGAAAATCAGTTCTATAATATGTGGCATATGACAGGTTTCCTATTTTCTCTAGTAGTCAGTACAGAATTCTGTGGGCTTAGCTTTTCATTTTTGCCATTGAGTTATGTTAACTTAGCACTGTGAGTTTCACTTCAAAGGAAGATCAGAGACCTGCAGGCAGTAGAACTGATGCATTGGCCTCCCAATTTCCTTTGCTCAGGTAACAATTGTCTAATAATATAATTTACAGTTGTGTCCTTCATATACATTCGGGATCTATGGAAATATTTAAGCTATGAAATCTTTCAGAGATTTACTCCAGAGTAGAGCAGGGGTTCTCAAACTTTAGCCAGCATGGGAATCACATGGACAATGGTAGAGATCTCCAACAGGAGATTATTCTGACTGCATTTTGTATGTGTGAAATGGATGGTATAAGCTGGGAAATAAGCCCATAGAAAATACTAGAGCCATCTAATAAATTTATGAAAATTAGATGCTAATCACAATCTAAAATTATAGTTGCCAGAGAGTTGGTATTTGCTTTATAAAATGTAGCAGTTTACAGAAATGTAATAACTGGCTTGTTTTTATTTGAGAATCCTGCACCTGTCACTGTTGCTAAACTGAAGAATATTGAGAAATGTTTTCCTTTGTTCATTTTGATTGACTTGCTACGTACAGGAGCATGTGTGGATGCTGCATCAGTGACCCACTTCCTAATCGACCTCATTCTTTCAAATTCTTTTCTACCTACCTGTCTGTGGGTACAATGTATCTTTCGGATGTGTGGACATATTTCAATAATGTTTTTTCCTTCTTATTCTTCTGAGGGCAGGGTGCGACAGAGTAAATGTACTGATGAATTTTTAAATATTTAAGAAGACAATTTAAAAATATCAGTATTAACTGTCTTATTTTTCCATTTTATGATTAACTTTATGAAAATGTACTCTGTTGCTTATTCCGGATTAGACACCACATTGTGGAAAGAACAGAACAAGAAAAACAGTAAGAGAAAGTAGAAAAGGGAGATGGAAAATGACCAATTCCTGCATTGCTATGTGATTTTAATCTACGTCTCCTTACGTCAGCTCAGTTATTGGAGCAACGTGATGATTAGAAATGTGTCCTGAAGAAGCATCTGGAAGAGGGCGTGCCTTAGCAGGGCTTCCTTCAACCTGGGAACAAGGCCCTAAGTGGGAAAACAGGCCTACCTGTACATCTGATGAGGTGATAGCCTCAAAACTGCCATGGGCAGATGGTGGAAGAAATAACAATGAAAAACCTCTTCCCCCTTCTTGGGAGAGATGGTCAGACCTTGCAATAGTGATGTTGTGAGAAAATGGACATGCAAGATTATCTAAATTTAGCCAGGGTCACTAGGGGGCAGTTAGTGCTCAATCCCCAGTTGCAAAACATTGGCACTTCCCACCTTGGGAGCCTTAGGTTGCCTCAGTGCCTCTTGGTATACCAAGACGTTGATGTGTTCAGCCAGGGAAGGTTGTACACACTTGGGCCACCTGGCCTCAGAAGCCGTCTCCTCCAATGATGAACAGTACTGCCATTTACCCCAAGGTCCCTAAAGTTGCCATTTTCTATGTCTTATATAAAAAACAGTGGGCGGGATGGGATTGAAACCCACCTGCTGTTTTCCACCTGGCCAACTTCTGCTTGTCTGACTGCCATGTCTAGAACACCTTCTCTTTCCCACACCCAAGCAGGGTGTTTCAGAAATCTGACCCATAAAGGAAAGACTGTTAGAGTGTCGTTATAACTCACAACTGCTGTTCAGTGAAAGACACTACGAACAGAGAGAAAAGATGAGCCTTAGGGCAGGAAAACCCATGAGATGAAACAAACAAAAGCCCTAACTGTTCTTTTGGCGTAGAAATGGATGGGCACATACTTGGTAGCATGTGAAAGAAACGAACCAGATTCTAGTGTATCATGTTAATATGAAACAAGAAAAAAAAAAGAAATCAAGCAGCAGATTTTATGTAGTCTATCATGCTGTTCATACAAAGTTTTGAAAAAAACTCCTCAAATGTACTTTTTAGGGATATAAAACTGCAAGTCCACATTGTTTTGTGATGGCGTTCCCTCTGGGTGAAAAGGATGTGTGTGGGCTATAACCATTGATTCCACTTTTTAAAAAAAATCAAGAAAGTATGTCAATAAGCTAACATGGCTTTATGCTCTTTGCTCAGGGCCAGCTTCAGACCAGGATCCTCCTTCCTGTGCCTCCTGTGTGGCTGGAATTAAAGCCACGAGACACCACACCTGGCTATTCAACCCTCTTAATGGGCATATTACTGGTGCATTATATTCTATGTTTCATGTTTAAAATGTTTCATAATTTAAATTAAACATTTTAACTGGACAACAGAAGTCTAAAGCATTCTAAGTAGATATAATGTTAATTGATTTTATATGTATTGCCTTTTAATTACTTCTGTTTCTTAAGTATTTGGCAGTTTAATTTCCTCATCAAATTATAGACTTTTAAGGGATGACAGTGTGATTGCCGTTTCTTGCCTGCTCTCTTCAATGACTGGAACTGCATTAAGCATCCAGTACATACAACAAATGATGGTTAATTGATGACATAAAATGTGTTTGCTCAGCTGGAAGCTTTACCTGTGAAACAGATTAGCTATACAGCATTTGTAAACATGCCATGTCCAAAAAGCAAATTTGATTCTTTTTAATTTCTCCCTTTATTCTGTCTTTGCTTTGCTCACTTTCCCTCAGCTACTTTCTTTCTGTTCCCCACAGTTTTCTTCAAAACCTGTCAAAATCAAATAAAGTCTCATTTCTTTACAAAGAAAGCTCTAAATCCAGTGTGGTGCACCTGTCGCCTGATGAGTCAAAGCTTGTGGGATGAGAATGGAGGAAGCCCATGACTGCAGTTTTGGGGAGAGTTGTGTCAGATTGTGACCACGTCTTTGCCAAAGAGGGAGAGTAATTGGGAAAACACCTGAGAGTAAGCATCTTATTGTCAGAGTATAAGAACTCAACAGTGTCAGAAACTAAGACAAAGCATTTTTTTGAGAAATGCCTACAGAAGGCCATAGGTGCCTAGACAGGGAGAACATCTTGCTGGTAGAGTTTCAAATTTTCCAATTTACAATCCAGTGCATTCTGATGAACTTATTTATTTTAACTTAACTTTTATTTGTGATTATTGATTTTATGGAGTGTGGTTCATTTGCATTTTATTATTAAGTGGTTGATAAATTGTCTTACATAAAGCCAGAAATTAAAAGTTAGTTTGATATTCTCTGGGTGTGCTCTTAACAGGACATGAACACACAAATGTCCCTTGGTGTCAAGGAGGTGGAGACCTGCTGAAATTCATCCACAAAGCCCTCAGGATTCTGAGCACCCCAGGTGACCACACTTGCACTGACCAGGTCCAGGGAGGGTGTAGCTACTTGGCAACAACTTAAAATTATGAGTTGACTGATAATTATTTCAGAAAAGATGAAATGACATGGTCATTCCTTTTACATTGGCCTGAAGTTTTAAAATATATTTGTTCCTAGGTAAAAAATTCTGCAAGAGAGATGAATTTCCAACTACATTTCTGATTTTTAAACTCCATTTCTATTTATTATTAAGGTAATTTTGCCAAAATAGAAATGCAGGGCATTGAATTCTTTTAGGCCCATTGCCTGCTCTCATTTAGACTTGGCACGCACCATAATTAGCAATATTGAGTTTTAATGGAGTCAACATAAAGGAGAGTAACTGCTTTGTAATCCTAGTGCTCTTAATGTCACCATACTAGAGACAGATAGCCTGTCCTGGATCAGGCTTCCACACTACCTATGACCTTTCCTTGGTCCTCATCTTCTCATTTACCTCATAGTTAGTCCAATGAGGAGTCCAAGTGAACTCTTCTTTCTGGTTTGCGATTCACTTGAATGCATACTTTCAGCTCTCTGTTCTCTTATTCAACTTAATCTAATAATGAATTCTCTTGATTTATTACAATTAATCAGCTCACACATTTTTTGTCTAGTGAGTGGCTAGGACATTTTTATAACCTTGGACTTGTTCATCATATAATACAACCCACTTTCTTTGGTTCCTTCCTTCCTTCCTTCCTTCCTGCCTTCCTTTCTTCCTCCCTTCCTCCCTCCCTCTTTTCTTTCTTTCTTTCTCTTTGTACTTAGGTTTGGACTCAGGACCTCACACTTGCTAAGCAGGCACTCTATGACTTGAGACACACTTCCAGCCCCTTTTTAGGTTATTTTTTTTGATAAGGTGTTCCTTTTTCCCTAGGCTGGGACTCCTACCTGCAGTCTCCCATGTAGCTGAGATCATAGATGTGTGTCACCATGCCTGAGTTGTTGGGTGTGTGGTTTTTCATCTCTTTAACTTTTTAATGACCTGGAACTACAATCCTTCTGATCTCCACTTCCAGAGTGGCTGGAATTATAGGTGTGTGCCTCTGCACCCAGAGTAAAGCCCAGATCTTTTCATGATATTACAATGCACACTGAAATGTTAAAGAAAAGAGAGATCAGGAATTCAGCAAGGGGAGAAATATAGACCATGTAGCTGGTATCTGTAAGTAATTGAAGTCCATCATAGAAGACACAAGAGGGCAGGAAGAAACCTGCTCTTGTGATAGGTATAAAACTTGAACATCTGTTTCGTCTCTGAAGATTATTAGCATGTGTATTATCTTCTATCTTTCATTAAAAGTTGTCACCCATTGAGCCAGGATGTAGCCCAGTGGCAGAGTGCTTGCTTAGCCTGGGAAAGGCTACACAGCACTACAAAAAATAAAAAATAAAAATTAGGAAGGAAATTACCACCCATCGCTGATGTGAGAGGTGATGCCAATGATGACTACTGTTTATTGAGTACTTGAATGCTCAGACTTTGTGATTAGGTTCTCATTTCATCTTCACAGCAATGAAACTATGAAATTCTCACTTTTACTTCTGTTCAAAGCCAAAATATGACATTCTAACCACAGAGTTCATGTTCTTAGTCACTAAGCTCTGTTACATCCCTCGTGAGAAATTGAACTCACCACCTCCGCTTTCATCCTCTCTCCTTTTCCATTCTTTGTGTTGCTATGATTTAGGGACTCTCATTCCGTATTATGGATTTTATTCTCTGCGTAGATAATCCCACGGTCACTTCTTCAACCTGCCTCCCTCCCCTTAAACTCTTGTACTAAAAATTTCAATTGATTGTTCCATAGGCATTTCAAATTGGTCATATACAAAACCAAACTCTGTGTTTTTTCCTTCAATGCCTCTTCTGAAGGTTTCTCCATCTGATGAAATGGCAACTCTACCCATCTCGTTGTTCAAGCTCAAAGTATTGGAATCGTCCTTGGTCAGGCCTTTCTTTTGTGCTCATCCCCCTCCCAATTCACTAGAATGCATCTAGAATGCGACCATGTCCCCCTCCATTGCTGCCCGAGAGTCACAGTGACATCATTTCTTGCTTGATCAATGCCATGGCCTCTCAGCTACGGATTGAGAAGCTAGAGGACATCTCGCAAAGCAAGTCATATCATTCTTACTTCAAAAGTCCTTGCAAACAAAGCAGGGACATTCCATGTCACTCAGACGTGACTCCTGCCATCAACTCTTCTGTCTCTCTCCTTCCCTCCACTCAGCTAAATCCTCTTCCCCATGTTCCAGGCCTGTGCCTGCTTTCTCTAAATACCTGCATGGCTTTTCCTTCTGCTCTCTTCACAGCTCTGCTCAAATTTGGGTTTTGTCTAACACACTAAAACTCTGTCTCCAAACTCTGATACCCCTCACCTCCCTTAACCTGCTTTGTTTGTCTCTGTGACATAAAATGCCACCTTATTTACTATATATGTGCTGGTATCTCCTTAATAAAATGTCAGTTTCATGAATGCTGGGCTTCTATTTGGTGCCCTTGCATATCCACAGAGCCTAGAACCATGCTTAGCACTTGTCTGTTGAATGAATTAATGAATTTACCCTTTCAATAGTAGTATACGTAAGTGTCTTTGTCACCAACTCATCCCAGGGAACATGGATTTTTATATTACTTCTTTTTAACATGAAAAGAAATTCACTGCAGAAAACAATTCTCTATACAAAAGCAGGACATAGAAATACTGAAAATGATTTTTCTTTTATTTTTTTTCCAAGCAACTAATAGAGAATGCATACAGAAGTCTCATAATTTGTACAGTTACTTAAAATGAGGAGACTTGAAGCACACATGCTCTTGCAGAATCCAACAGTGTCCTCAGTCGTCATTACGAGGGACTGCTGCTCCCCCATCTGCCCTGGCTTTCCCGGGCCTCTCACTGTGCTGCCACTGCAACAGAGGCACAGATGTTCCCAGTGGCAGGGATCCCTCGGTGTGGTACTGACTTCTGAAGGAACCCCTTTAGTCCTAGAGTCTGCTTTCCTGTTTAATAAAGCAGGAACCTTCGTTAGCAGAGAAAGTCAAGCACAAATGATGCATGCCCCTCTATGCTGAGAAATGGCTTTGCCCATCACCAACTCTTTGCCATGGTAAGATAATCAGAGAAATTTTTCTTGTTTTACTTATAAGGTATCTAACCTTCACAGTTTATGAAGCAGAAAGAATGTTGTTAATCAAGAGGAGAAAGAATTGAACATCTCTGAATTTAGGCCCTAGCTGGTTGACAGTGGCTACACCAGTAATCCCTGCTACTTGGGAGGCTGAGATAGGGAGGACTGCAGTATCAGGCCAGCCTGGGGGAAAAAGTTAATAAGACCCCATCTCAGCCAAGAGCTGGGCACGGTGGCATGTGCCTGCCATCCCAGCTAGAGGCAGAAAGTAGAAGATAGGAGGATCACAGTCCAGGCTGGCCTGGGCAAAAAGAGAGACTCTAGTTCCAAAATAACCAGATTAAAAAAGCCTGAGTTGTGACTCAAGCGGGAGAACATCTGCCTAGCAAGTGCAAAGCCCTGAGTACAAACCTCAGTAATGAAAAGAGAGAGAGAGAGAGAGAGAGAGAGAGAGAGAGAGAAAGAAAGAAAGAAAGAAAGAAAGAAAGAAAGAAAGAAAGAAAGAAAGAAAGAAAGAAAAAAGAAAGAAAGAAAGAAAGAAAGAAAGAAAGAAAGAAAGAAAGAAAGAAAGAAAGAAAGAAAGAAAGAAAGAAAGAAAGAAAGAATATTAGGTGTTATTGGAAAAAAAGTCACTGCAATAATGATGTAGTCACTCTGTCAATATTCATCTTAGAAGCTTCATTTGGGTAATATCTTTAAAAACCCAGTGTGACCCCCTCTGTGAATGAGAGTGAAGTTCCCTTCACAGCCACTGGAGTTAGATGCATTTCCTTCTTCAGGAAGCCAACACTCTACAGGGAAATAAACAGGTAAAACAAACCGTGGATTTATAGTAACACATTAAGATATATGGGGTAAATAGTCTTCACCAATAAATTAAGCTGTGAAGCTTGAATAGTATGAAACTCTGAACTAAAAGACTTGGATTAGGAAATCTGTGACTTATGGTTGACAAACTGCTAACAGATATTCAAATAGAATCTATATGAAAAGTGTTATTAAATCACTCTTCACATCTGTAGTAAACTTACGACATATCAGCACAAGGAGAAAGGTGAAAATTACAGACAATGGACTGTTAGAAAAGAACATCAGGATGAGAAGCAACGTTTTTCCAGAGGAGCCTTTCTGATTATATTTCTCCCATTATTCTCTATCACACTATCTCAGTGCCCTAATTGTTTCATTCAGGACACTACTCAACATTATCATGTGTACACACACTCACACACACACACAG